ATCAGCAAAATTCTCCACAAACACAATATCAAGACAGCCTTCAACACTGACCAAAAAATAGCCAACATCTTAAGAAATCACGGTTTACTCGCACAAGCGCGAAGCCAAAAACACCAGTCTGAAGATGGCAAGTGGGACCTTGCTGAAACATTGCCAAGACAATCTCAATCTTACACAGGGAAGGACCCGAATACAACAAGACCAGCATACTACACCCGTGACAATCTACTCAGGACTCAGGATATCATTGCAGTAGAGCTCAGGATGTCATCATACATTACCCAGATCATTGCAACACAAAAGAACAATAGGCACACAGCCAGTACCTCAGCCACACAGGACATTACAAAACAGCCAACTAATCTGCAAACATCAACTCCATCAACTAATCAAGATGTTACAACACAGCCAACCAATCTGCCTACAGCAACAAAGCCAGCACTCCACACACACACACCAATATTTATAAAAAGACGGCAGCTCCAATTACGCTTTGCTTGCACAAGCACAAAGCCGAAGGCACCACCCTGAAGATGGCGAGTGAGACCTTGTCGAAAAGTCACCTAGATACTCTCAATCTTACACGGGAAAAGACCCAAAGACCTGCATACCTGTAGCCGTGAAAATCTACAGAAAAGCACACACAGACACAGACACACAGACACACAGACACACACACACACACACACACACACACACACAGAGACGTGTGTGTGTGTATATGTGTGTGTGTGTATAAAATCTCCACCTCAACATTCACTCTAGCAACATTGTGGAAGGTGTTGCTAAAGTTAGACAGGATGTTTAATTCTGACTCTGCCTCATTTTTATGATAAGTGATATGATTAGATTAATATGTTTTTCAAGTTTGAGGACTAGCAATCAACTACTAGATGTTATTCCCTACCCATATTCAGAGATATTTTGAAATCAGTGAATTACTGTCATTTATGAAATTGTAATTCAGCTCATTTAATTAAACTCATTATGTTGCAATTGACATGAAATGGCCTTCTGCCATGTTTTAAAAGGTGCAATTTCTCAAAAATTATTAAACAATCCTTCAGCCATTTCAGCAAAATCCCATCCAGAACTCAAATGATATTTTAATCAGGTCCTTTCAGCCACCTCTGTCAATTTCTGTTTCATTTGAGTGTTGGCAGTAAGTTGTGGTAGGTAGATTTGTAGTTACTGTTTGTTTTCCAGCTCAAAATGATGTAAATCAGAATTGCATTTAACATGTGCCTGCAAAACATGGAAGTCTAAGATGGGATGGATTGGTCCCTCTGACTCTTGATATGGGTTTCTAGCAGCTTTCCCCTTAATCAGTATTACTTCTGAGGAGAGCATCTTTGGTGAACACTGCCACCAGCTACGTTTTCCCGGTGAAGTCCTCTCTAGTACCAAGTTACTAAGAAAAATGTCTATGGAGATTCTCAGTCATCTAGGTCATGGTTAACCCAAAGGTGCTTTTTGAAGAAGCAACTGGACTTATAATCCTTGCATTATTTGCATTATTTTAGAGCATTGTTGAAACCACTTGGAGGTTTATTTGTGACCTCTTGGTGACCCGAGTAATGCAAATGGGTGTGGAGCCTTCTTGGAACTGCTGAAAGGACTATGTTGTAGACTGGAGAGAGATGATGTCATATCCCTCTCTGTTGAGAGAGGGCTGTGCAGTACACATTAATGAAGATAGAAGCCTTAAGATTGAAGTTTACAGAAACCCTCCACACACAGATCAATGTTTACAATTTGTTTCTCACCACTGACTGGAGCACAAAATGGGACTTATCAGAAGCCTACATCACTGACCTGAAGGCTGGTCTATTAGCAAAGATGGAAAAGAAAAACAGCTGAAACTTATCAAGAAAGTTCTCAGAACATGTGGCTATCCCAAAATAAGTTTTCTAGGAGCCTAAAAACAAGTTCAGGGATAGTATGCATCTATGAGGCTGCAAATTTCCCACTTGTATATTAGTACATCATGAATCCCTGGCGCAAGATCCTTGGAGCAGTTTTATTGGTAACACAGCTGCATTAATGTTGTGCATGATTGTTAACTTCTACATGTATAATTCTTGAATGCAGAGAAACATGCAGTCTAAAACAGAAAAAGTATGTGCGAAGCTAACACTGAAATTGAATTAAAGTTTGCCAGTTTTAGATAAAGGGATCACTTTAGTGACCTAAGTGCCAGTTTTGTGGGTGTTAATTTTCAAAATTGGTAGTGGAAATCAAATATCTCCCACATCTAACTCTTCACAGCTGTTAGACAAAACAATAAAATAAAATAAACCCCAAACCTCAAAGGTTTGTAAATGTGTTTTATATTGGAAACTTTATTGCTTCCTTTCTTATTGGGGATCTATGCTGACAACTTACTTAATATATTAATAAGGCTATTATAAATAAGAAAAAATACTGTATGTCTGTAAGAGAATTCATCACATTCATCAATTAGTTAATTTTTAGAAGGAAATATGTGGTAGATTGGGGGGCTTAGAAGTATCTCTCCTCCCCATACATTTATATTATTTGTATTTTTTTAAAATCCATTAAAGTAACTCAAGAATAGATTATACCATTAGCAGAATCAAGAAGTATCTGTTTATCTGATTTGTACTGTTTTAGATTGTAGACAAGGGACTGCAGTGTGAATTCCCTTTCTAAAATATTCTTCTGACAATTCGAAAGCATTTTAAAAAGCAAGATTCCACCTGGTTGAAAGATATTCAAGAATATCATCAGCAGCCTACAGGTGTCTTCATCTGATTTTTTTTTAAAAAGAGGCTTGATTCCTTCTGTTAGAAATGTGCTCTAGCTCTTGATCTCCTGAATTAAGCAAAGTTTGTATGGACTATTAGACGTTCTCAGAATCCTTTCTTGAATTATTCATCCCTGATTAGGCTGTATCTTATGATGACATTATATTCTTCTGCTATTCAGCTGTCTTTTTTGTTGCATAATTGGTTTTTCTTTGTGGAGAATGTAATTGGTTGTGTCTGCAGCATAAGTTGTAATTATCATTCTTAGAACAGAATAATGATTATTTTGAAGTTTTTCTATCTAGATATTTAGCATCTTGTCCTAATTCTTGAAACACAGTGAGATCTTAATCAATTCCATCTTAAGTGGTTAAACTTTTATTTTTATCAGCTTACAATGCTATTTGCAGCTTTGATGACACAGAAGTTATCAGAGGAACTTATGAAACATTCATCTTTGCTTCTACATCTTGATATTATTTGGTTGTATTATTCCAAATTGCTTCAAGTTTGCAGCTTTGATGTAAATAAGAAGGTTCTGAATACAACATGCAATCCTGTTTTTAAAACGCCTGTGAAGTTTTCTTGTTGTTCAGAATTTATCTAATGAAGTGAAACAGTGAGATATTCGGCATGGATAAAAGAAAGTACATCCTTAATCCTTGAAATCTGATAGTACAAGTTATAAGGATGGATCTTAACTTAAGCAGTTCAAAAAAGAGTTAGAAAAGATAATGTAATCATCTGTCTCTGAATACTAATTGCTGGATGATATGGGCAGGAGAAAAGTCTTGTACTCATTACTTGTTTATGGACTTTTCACAGATATCTGCCTAGCTTTTCTAAGGATGGAAGGATTGCTAAGAGGATTGTTCTGATCTTGTACAAATTTTCTTATCTTCGAAAAGATAATGCAGATATCAAATGAGTAATCTTTAATCTGATAACGAGGGAGCAAGGGATGTACAGTTAACCATAGTGACATTCTGGCCACATTGAAAGCATTATTTCATATTGTGACTCACTGATCTTTTCTGCATATATGCATGTATGCATTTTTTTTCCCAGTACTTGCAGTTGACAGATATGGAAGTCATGAACTGACTCCTGCTCTGTGTAGAAATTGTATGATGGATGAAAGGAAGGGTCAATCTCCAGTACTCTTAACAGAATAACAGAATTGGAAGGGACCTTGGAGGTCCTTTAGTCCAACCCCTTGTTCAAGCAGGGGACCCTATACCCATGATGGCGAACCTATGGCACGCGAGCTGTTGCCCCAGTTCAACTCTGCTGAGCATGCACGTGTGCCTCCCGCCTGCTAGCTGGTCTTTGAGTCACTTCCACGCATGCACGGTGGGTGGGACATGTGCAGGGTGGCCACACGTGCATGCACGGGGGCTGAGCATGCATTTTGGGGATTTGGGCATACACATTTGTGCACGTGCGTGTGTGCTTTGGGCACTTGGTCCAGAAAAGGTTAGCCATCACTGCCCTATGCTATTCCAGACAAGTGGTTGTTTAGACTCTTCTTAAGATCACCCAGAACATCTGAAGGCAAGCCATTCCACTGGTTAGCAGTTCTCAATATTAGGAATTTTTTCCCTAGTTCTAGGTTGCTAATCTAGGTAATTATTTTTATGTAACTAATCTCTCCTTGATTTGTTTCCATCCATTGGTTTGATCCATTGGTTTATTTTTTCATTGCCTTAGATGTACTTCTAAGTAAAAAAAAATGATCTTGATGTCTCTCTCTCTCTCTCTCCATTTTTATAGGGGGTATTTTTGAATGTGTGGAATCTGGTCCAACTGGAGCAATGGGAGCAGAAGAATTGGCCTTCCGATTTGCTGTGAACACAATCAACCGAAACAGAACCCTGCTGCCAAATACCACACTAACATATGACACTCAGAAAATTAATCTCTACGATAGTTTTGAAGCATCTAAAAAAGGTATGCTTTAGAAAGTCTCGGAGTTTGGTTGACAGTTGTCTAGGCAGTCTAAACATTTAATAGAATAAAGAGGCAAGCAAAGTCAGCAAATCCAGAAATCTGTTTAATGAGAGTTCACACCAGGCCAGTGTGATCAAAATACATCTCAGTGAAGTGCCGCAAGGTGTGTTATAGTTTCTACCACACATCGGTGGTGCAAAATGCTAAACAGGCATTATTCATTCATTCTTTATAACAATCTATAGATGGCCTGCCAAAGTTCAGTTGTAGAAGGAAATGAGAAAAATTGAACTTTTCTGATTCAGAAAAATTTGTGCAGTCATGTTAATCAGCCTGTCTCTTGAGATCATCTTGAAAAATCCCTTTTGTATAATTGAAGCTTTTCAAAGCCGTACAGTTATATGAAGGAAAAAAAAAATCATTTTACAGATGCAGCATTTAATATGTGAAATTTCCTGCATTCTAACATCATCCAAATAGTTTATAAATTTATTGAATAGCAAAATCCAACCTTGGAGTCTTGTGTTAGGCTGTTTGACATTCCCGCTTGACATGGAATCATTGAACTATGATTGTTCAACCAACACAAAATAGAAGGAAAAAAGCAACACATAAAAATCCATGCATTGTCAAAAAAAATTCTCAGGCATTATTTTAAAAGCAATAAAAGTACAATTTAAAAAAAATCAAAACAGAATAATCAAGATTTTTTAATATACATCATCATTCTTTGTGAATGGAAGTATTTTAGCTCTTTCAGGGAAATGGAAAATTTTTAATTTTAAAAATTCTTTTTTCACATACTTCAGATTTCAAGGTGTTCCAAGAATTATACCAGCTTCAAGGAATATTTCCATAGGCATAGTGTAGACTACACTATGGCCAGAGAAGGGAATCTGTTGAAAAACTGTCCCTCCAGCCATGCTAACAGAAGTCTCTGTTTCTCATAAATGGTGCAACATTATAGCCTACAAGCCCCTGGCTATCAAATCTATTATTACCTGCAAAAATACAAATAGCAGACAACAGCAAAAAACATGATTCACAATATGGCTACCCCTTTGGAGATTTCAAAGGATGCAGTGGCTCAGTTGCTAAGACACTGAGCTTGTTGATCAGAAAGGTCAGCAATAGCAATAGCAATAGCAATAGCAGTAGACTTATATACCGCTTCATAGGCCTTTCAGGCCTCTCTAAGCGGTTTACAGAGAGTCAGCATATTG